CCCCTCCTTTTCCAAGGCTGCTCAAGTTTGAGTTTTTAAAAAGAGCTCGGTTGAGCTAAAGGAAGCTACAGTAACTCATTGCTTATTTAATCAATTGCACTTAAAACCTACATACAAGTTAATGATTCTTAGGCAGAGACAGGCCTGCCATGGACCCCGGCATCCTGGCCAGCCAGAAGGGAGGGGCTCCCACAGCAGGGGGTCCTGGACAAGCAGCTTTCAGAGCTAGGACTGGAGCACATGGGCCTTTTCAGAAGTCTTTTTTGATGCAAGATTTTGTATTCAACTGAATTTGGGCTTTCGTTCGTTTGGCTTCCAATACAAACGGTTTCTTTCTATTCCAAGGATACCGTCTGAGGAGCCCCTGACAGTGGTTTAGCTGACTGATGAGGGCCTCTGCATGATCAGGACCCAGGCCACCTGCATTCCTGCCCATCTCTCCTCTGCTCGTTGCTGGTTTCACCTATGTGCTTATTCCTAAGGCATGCAAAAATAACGTGACGTTCAGAAAGCATTTACAATCCAGGCTACTGAGGCGCTACAGTCCTCCAAGGCCTGACCTGAATCTCAGTGTGCCCTCCTCTCCCGCACTAACTCCGGAGCTCGGGCGAGGGGCACACTTGTAATTCCCTTCTGCTTTATGCTCAGTGGAAAAGAAAGCTCCTGGAAAGAATTGTAACGTGGGCATTGGGACTTAAAATTCCTGGTCCTCAAGAGCCAAACAAGGCCAGGACCAGTAACAATACTTGGGAGCATGGATTCCTGGACTTTGTGTCTGAGGACTAGGCCTGCCCTTGCCAGGCTGATGGAAGGGCTGAGTGCTGGAGAGACTGAAGCCCCTTCAAGGATACTCCACAAGGGGTCAGACTCCTGAGCCTGTGACTCCCCAGAATGCTCCCTCCACAGGGAAGCCTGGAGCAGCTGGGGAGCTCTGGTCCCCGAGTTGGGAGCAGCAGAGTGATGCCATCAGGGGAGCTTAGGAACCAGTCACAACTCAGTCACACACACTCTGGAAAACGACATGCCTTTCCCCTCAGTTTGGTCCATAAGGAAATCCCTTCATTTTGGAACCAGCTGTTGATCTCACCCAAGCTGCCGGCTCTGTGGGCTGGGCTGGGCTGGGCAGGGCTTGTCCTGCTCACCCCAGGCCTGGGCCCAGGGCCAGCTCCTGCAAGAGAAAGGACCTAAGCAAAGGACGCAGGCCCTCCCTCCACTGAGGATGAGGGTTCTCCTGGGGCAGTGTCTGGGACCTGAGGCCTATGGCCCCTAGCCCCCCAGGCACAGCCACAGTTCCGGCAGTCAGGATCTCCACGGGACCCAAAGGTCTCTCTCCACCCTCACACAGTACCTCAGTAGCCCAAAGGAAGCACTGTTATCAGAGACCCGGAGACAGTGGACTACCAGCTCCACACAACTCGTTTGTTCACCCTCCATGTGGACACCCCTCCCCCCACCGCTGATGCTCTTAAGCGCTGCACGCAGAATGAAGACCACACACACTCCAGCCAGCACACATAGCCCAGGGAACAAAGGCAGCTCCTGCAGGGAGGGCCCGGAGAGCGGAGGGGGAGCCTCGCCGGCCCATCCTTGTCCAGGACGGACAGTTTGCAGGGGCCTGGGGCCAGCTCTCCTCTAGGGCTTCTTCTCAAAGAGGTCATGATACTCCTGCTGCTCCAGCTCGCGGTTATACTTCTCAATCTCCCGGTTGGCTTCTTCCACGTAGTCATTCATGAACTGGTCCATGACTGGCATCTCATTAAGGAAGATAAGCCCTGAAGGTAAATAAGTGGCCATCTAGCTCAGAAGCAACAAAGCCCACATGGAACAACATATCAACCTGTGTGATCACGAGGTGTCGAACGG